CTCTAAACATGAACATAACTAAGACAATTTTGTGGACGGACTCTCAAGTAACACTCACATGGATCAAGGCTCATCCATCAAGATGGAAGGATTACGTACACAACCGCGTAATCAAAATTCAAGAACTCTCAAGGAACGCTCATTGGAGGTATGTGTCAGGCACATCAAACCCAGCTGACTGTGCATCGCGTGGGATATCCACAGATCAGCTGGAAAAGCACACTCTATGGTGGACGGGACCACCATGGATCACTCAATCAATGGCATCATGGCCGGCTCAGGTCAAAGAAGCTCCTAATGACTCATGCGCGCAAGAAGCTTGTTCTCGTGTTGTACTTCACACGGTACGATCTTCTCCGAGTTATCAGTGGGATCTTATTCATCGATTCTCAACGCTCAACAGGTTGCTCCGAGTTACAGCTCTCTGCAGTAGATTTATCAAGAGGCTCTCAGGAGAGCTTGACTCGACACCAGCAGCCTGTACCTCAGTTCAAAGCATGGAAGACTCTCGACTCTTTTGGGTCAAGGCTACTCAATCGGCGTACTATTCAGAAGAAATCTCAGTGCTCTCAAGACAATCTCAGCTGCCAAGCTCGCACCCACTCTCTAGGCTCACCGCATTCATTGATGCCGGTGGTGTGCACAGGATGGACGGTCGCCTCTCAAGGTCCAAACTCATGTACGAGGCCAAACATCCAGCAATTCTCCCTCGTAGCTCCAGGCTCTCAGAACTCGTCATCGCCTATGCTCACAAGAAAACGATGCATGGAGGCACTCAGTCGACTCTGGCACTCATCAGACAACTCTACTGGATCATCGGAGGAAGAGCCCGTGTGTGCTCGTTACAGGGGGATCCGTGCTCAGCAACTGATGGGCCAACTACCTCAGGCGCGAGTCACTCCATCACGCCCGTTCTCTCACACAGACATTGACTACGCTGGACCGCTCACGCTCAAGACGTGGAAAGGACGTGGCTCCAAGACTCACAAGGGTTGGATCTGTGTATTTGTCTGTCTATCAACTTCGGCCGCTCATCTCGATGTCGTTTCAGACTACTAAGCCGACGGCTTCATTGCAACTTACAGACGCTTCACCTCAAGGCGGGGTGTCCCGTCAGACCTCTACGCTGATTGTGGCACCAACTTCTTGGGCGCTGAAGTTAAGCTCATGCAATGTTTCTCAGAAAGCTCTTCAGGACGCCGGGAGATCTCTTCTGTGCTAGCTCAGGACAAAACACAGTGGCATTTCAACCCGCCTGCAGCTCCCCACATGGGTGGGAAATGGGAAGCAGTAGTCGAGTCTCTTAAGTTTCATCTCAGAAGATCTGTCGGAGACACACTGCTCACGTATGAGGAGACTTCCACACTCCTCGCTCAAATTGAAGCCATTCTCAATTCCAGACCACTCGAACCGCTCAGCAAAGATCCAGAAGATACCTCAGTGCTCACACCAGGGCACTTTCTCATCGGAACGGCACTCAACGCTGTCCCTRAARGCTCACTATTGGACATCTTAGCAAGTCGGCTCTCCAGATGGCAGTTCATCCAGCAACGAGTTTAACAGTTCTGGCGCATGTGGTCAACTCAGTATTTACAACAATTACAAGCCATCTCAAAGTGGCATCACGCTCACAACCAGATTCAGGTAGGTTCACTCGTTCTCCTTACTGATGAGCGTTTGCCTCCAGGAAAATGGCCCATGGCTAGGGTGCTCAAATTGCTGCCAGGGGAGGATGGACT